GCTGGGGAATAAGCCTCATCAGCCTTTTCTCTTCACCTTTTTTTAGAGTATTGCTCACACTAAAAATAATCTTCCAAAAACCTCACCATTGTACTGCAAATTTTTACAGGTTGGAATAGTAAATCACGTTTGAGTACTGAGGTGTGTGCTCTGTTGTAATAATGCAGATCATTCATAAAATGGTCCATGTTAGGCTTTGGGCATCCCACATAGAGTAGGGGGTATGGTTTTTAATGTACCCAAGGTCTACATTAAACCTTAATAATACAATCCAGTTAAATATCTTCAATGTTAAAATGTGAAAGTTTGAAGTAGACTAGTAACTAGATGTTGAAATCCGTGATTTAACAAGATTTCAAACATGTTTTTCCAACTGATCAATGTTTCCTAATATCTGAGCAAAAAGTCCCTCAATTCTTCACTGACAAAGACTTCCAGGACAAATTACAAGAGCTAATCAGTAACAACAATTATTGTGAATGTCCTTTTTTCATATCCAGTAAACCTGTATTTTCTCTTTTTTACCCGGTGTTATTTTCGACTTTACAGTAACATGGCACCGGAAGCAGGTTAATTAAGCAGTCAAAATGTTTTGCTGGTAACACATATTTTTTATATCTGTTACTTATTAAGCTAGTTTTCAAACTCTAACACCATTTTTTAGACAGCAGAAAGACGGAATGAAACACTCACACTTAAGCAAACAATCTGATATGGATAACAATGTTCCAATGCTTCATGATCACATCCTAAATATCATCAAAGGAAAATAAATCACCTCTAAAACTCCTTTTGGAAAAGAAAAGGAACAAGAATGTTTTAGCATTCAATGTATCCGGACAAACTGACTACATTGCCTATCATAACAACCTAGTGAGGCTGTCCAACAACATCATCTCTGACCCAAACCATGTTCTGAACAGTGAATATGAACTGCTACCATCTACTCGGAGATACAGGATCCCACGTTTCAATAAAGTCAGACTGAAGCACCCCTTCGTGCATCAGTCAATCCTCACAGTAAACACAGAGCTAAATCCCAGATCAAATGCACTCTGAAGGTTCTTTGAGCATGTTTTCTCTCACTGATTGTGCTGTTATGTTAAATGTTTGTTGTTTGTGTTTCATGTATTGTGTCTGGATACTTTGTCTGTTGATGTTGGACATGGAGCTGCTGTGACGCAAGTCAAATTTCAGACTTGATCTGACCAATAAAGTATTATCGTATCGTATTGCTATGACTTTGCTTACTTGTGTTTATTTCGGCTGTCAGCAACTTTGCTTACATTATGGGTTACTACTTCCTACGTTTACTTAAAGCAAATGGTTTGGATCAGTGATTCTCAATTGGTCAGGCCTCGGGACCCACTTTTTCCTTTGTCAATAAATTGCGATTTATAATATATGCTTTTCAGCATACATTATTAATTAAAGTAAAGTACAGTGCATATATCCCTTGTATCCCTTCACAGAACTAAAGAATGCTTTTAAATAAGGTTTAATGAGATGATGGAATCAAAGCTGAACTGTATAACATAAAGAGAGCACTTTCACTATCCGACGTGTTTATGATGCGCCAGCGGACGTCATAAATGTGCGTCTGCTGCTGCTGTGGGGAAACTATGGAAACTACAGTGTTCCTATAGCGGACCTACAACCTGGATGTATAATAGAACGAGGGACTAACTGGTGTAAACTCATCTAGAGCGACTCTGCACCCGTGCTCGATGCTGTTGTTTTATGCTTTATGCACGTGGCACGAGAAATATTCCTTCAGGACCCAAAGTTGGAATTGAATAAAAAAGGAAAGTGGAACTATGCTCGTCATCCTCTCCCTCCGGTCCCACATTAATACAAATTATCCCAATACGTATTATTGTATGAAAATATCTTAAATCATAAATGTATTATTATCAAACTTTATTTAACATCTATCACTGTGTTATCACCATTCAACTCTTTTAAAAGTTAACAACCCCACACAGCTCAGTGAACTGCGGTTGACTTTATTTGAAATTTCAGTCAAAAACTACGTTCTATTTCCTTTTTGATATACTACTGATGAACGGTTCAGAACAAAGCCCTTTGGAATTACCCACATACGTTTAAAAAGCTTAATAAGACCGTAACTTTCATGAATATCATATCCGGTGAAAAATCGGTTGTTTCCCGTGAACGGGCCGACGTTGTGTGACGGCAAATGCTGCGGCTGCAAGGCATTGTGGGGCACGCCGC